GAGAGAGAGAGAGAGAGAGAGAGAGAGAGAGAGAGAGAGAGAGAGTTTGGCTATCTTTGTCTCTATACAAGATTATAATTTAGAGGTGATAGTGGATTGTTTTCGATCATGTGGTTTTTCCTTATTGAGGGTTTTCCACATTAAATCTTGTTTGAGATTCTATTTGCTGCGTTTGGTGGTTTTAGGGGGTTTTGCGTGATAAAAAAATCCCAACAATATCCATTTTTGTTCTTTATTCCATTAAAATTTTAATCATATTTGTATCCATATCTACTCATGTATTTTCAGTATCCATATTTGTATTTTATTTGATAACATTCTAGGATATCGGTAACTCTTTTCATCACTAGTCTGGACCAGAAAGCACATACATCTTGGTTAATAAATAAAAGAACAACTCTAGATGTTAGGAAATTATCATACACTTCATTTTTTAATAATTGTAACAATTAGCATGAAGCTACAAAATAAGTATACCTCTTGTGTGCCACTAGCATCTCAGAGTAACCACCGTAAGTGACACTTCCATCCCAAAAGATGCCTCCATATGTGAACTGCACCTCCTCACAATAATTCTCTTCGGAGTTGTCACAGAACTCACAGTTGAGGCAGGATGCAGCCAAGCATCCAACCCCCACCTTGTCTCCAATCTTGAATTCCTTCACATTGCTGCCAATCTCTGTCACCACGCCAGTAATCTCGTGCCTGCAATAAAACCCAAGATTTTTCCATCACTGCACTTTTTTGTTAGGGAAGATATATTTTTTTCCAAAAAAAAAAAAAAGTCTAATTTCTACATTTTATTTATTTTTGGATCCGGATCCCCTTCAATTACATGGTAACTGAAAAACGTCCAATTATGTTCTTACCGTCTATTATGCTTTCAATGGATGAAGTCACGCCACATAACGTGAAGTTTCCACTTTTATTTTGAAGGTATACTTGGAAAAAAACATTATAGTCAATATTACGCCTGTGATAATAGAAATTTTATACAATGTGATCTAATCCATTGAAACTGAGATAGTTGGTAATGATTAAAATAATTGGACCCTTTCCAGTTACAACCTAATCGTAGAGGACCTTAGTTTTTAGATGGTTATAGAATCTGTCAGATCTGTACTACTTGTTGCAATGAATGCATTTCAACCATGTGAAGTTACAGGGTATTTTTCTCCCCCTGTTATTTACTTATGTTGAGATTGAGCCAAGTCATTTTAATTATATGAGTGAATCCTTTTATAAGTCAAGGATACACATTATTTTTTAGGGGTTTTTGCTTTTAGACCCATTTGTTTACTCCCATTTATTTTTAAACCCAAGTACTATTATTTGTATCTTTAAGCCCAATTCACCTTTTGTATTTATCTTTAAACCCAAAACCACTTATTTTTATATTTTGAAGATTGGGTTTAAAAATAAATACAAAATGTGAATTGGGCTTAAAGATACAAATAATAGTACATGGATTTAAAAATAAATGGGAGTTAACAAATGGGTCTAAAAGCAAAAACCCCTATTTTTTATATTTAAATGGATGTGGATGAAAGAAACAAAAAGGAGAAATCATTATTTTTATTTAATTAAGAAGGAAAAAATGGTTATTGTACTACGGACAACAAAACTATTCAGGGTCCTTGATCGCTCATAAATTAAATTTTAATGCATACAACTATACAAGAAAGAACTATCGCTCTTGGAGGAAATGATTTACACCCAGAAAGTAATGTTCTCCTCACTTTTTAAGATGGTGACAGAGGAATTTTCGAGGCTAGTTTTACACTCCAAACAAACAAGTCCTTATCGTATTGGAATAGATTGATTATCAGGCTATCACCACTCAAGAAGAAGATGCCCATGCAATTGAAGTAAATGATTCATGCAGATAGTACAAAAAGTTTCAGAAGAGATCTGTTGATATTATTGTTATTACAGTTGTTGCATTGTTAAACCCATTAAAATACTCTTTATTTTGCTGACTTTAACCTACACCATTGCTGCGGAAACAATGACTCATAGTTGAGAAGCCTCATTTTATCCCCCTTTATCAGTGTAAATAATGACTAATACTAGAAAACTTAAAACAAATTTTTTTCCCAATATTAGTGTTATAGAATAGATCATAGAGAAACAGGGATACAAGTTCTATACAAATTCAAGATTCTAATTCTCTACAAAGAGTTTTTATGATGCAGCTAGAATGAATTAGCTATACTCAATTAATTGTAGACTCGGCTTTGTTTCTATTTAGAAACAATAACAAAACCATAAATCGACATCGATCTGTTCTATATTGCTTCTTTAAGAAAATAGCTCATGAAACCCTTATCCAAAAATTAATGATTAGCATCTCAAATGTAAGATTAGCATCAAATAGTCTCATGTTCGATTTGTGGTACAACGCATCACTGATTAAAGAAACAAGTAAGCATTTACAATCATTATGAGAACAAATAGATGGTCAAATGGATGAGCAGTAAAACACTTTTTACGTGGAAAATATAATATCTTGATAGGATTTTTATTCATTTACGTCTAATTAGAATATACCAACATTCATATAAATTAGAGGAGGGGGAAGCATTACCCGGGTACAAGAGGGTAGATCGAAATACCCCAATCATTCCTAAGATGGTGAAGATCAGTGTGGCACATCCCACAATACAATATCTTTATGCTCACATCATCATCCCCATTTTGCCTTCATATATATCATCAAACAATAATAACAACAAGAAATGAGTCAAGGCCAAGCATACATACGTAAGCTTTAAATAATTGCCCAAAGATATAATTAATTAACGAATAATACCTCCTTTGAAAAACAAAAGGAGCTATCTTCCCGTTGGCCTCAAGAGCAGCCCAACCATTCACTTTCGTCATACTCTCCTCTCCTCAAAATTCAACACACAAGAAAATGTAAACAAACTTATATTTTTATCTTTTTTTTTTCCCTCCCTTGAGCTTGATTGGTTCTCTGTGTGCTTCCATATTTAAAGCAATACTACGATCTCTCATAAATTTTTTACTTTGTAGCGTTGAGGTCGCAGGGCACCGTTGAGAATTAATGGGGTAGGCGGTAGGGGATTAATTGGTGCCCTCACGAAACATAGCGTTTGACCCCTCTCTCTTCCTTTAGCTCGTGTCCGCGCGCTGCGCATTTATCAGATTGCTTGAAGAGGTTATATTTTTCTGGCTTGGACCTAACACAGAGATCCCTTTGGAAGGTTGCCAAATATGCCTATTTATCATGCTTCACTAGACCAAAATTACTCATTTATTAAACTGAATGGACCCGAGACGCTTCCGACCAATATTCACCTTGGCTCGAATGCAGTTGAGCCAAACTCGAGCTGAGTACATATGGATAATAGAGATGACGTCACAAATTAACAAATCACAGACAAGCAGCAGATTCATGTCAGAGGTGAGTGTGAGAGGATGAGACTGCGTGCATCAGAGAAAACTCAAAATTGTGTTGGATCAAGTTATACGAGAGCCATATGTAACAGCATGAGTGCTCCACTTCAAACATTAACTCATTCTAGCAAAGTCTCAAAGCAAATAGAGAGAACCTTGACCCAAATACCAACTTGTTGGGTTGTAAATACCAGCTGTAGGCAGAGATGGACAGTCATAATTTAGGGAAAAAACTTTTATTTATTTATTTATCTATCTATCTATTTATTTTAAACAAGTCTTTTCATCTTCCCCAAATGGCATAACCAAAAAGAAAAAAAAATGCTCGAGCTTATGCGGAGTCAATTTTGAAACTATCACATGAACTGCATGAACATATCTTTTGAATTTGGGGCTAAATTTCATCTCATGCCCACGTAGTTTCAAATTTATCACCAATGATCACATGTTCTCATCAAGAGTAGTGGTCAGATGGTATAGCTACCAATCAATCTATGTCAGATTTTCTAGAAGTACCACTAACAAATAGTTTTCAAACACCCAGGTTTTATGCATGTGCAATACACGTGGTTAAATACCTTGTTTAAGTATTATTAATCTATTTCCTTACTAAAAATTTGTTCTTTGGTTCCACTTTGATAATTTTTCTCACTTATATCTTTAAACTTTAGTATTGTGATTATTTATTTTCTTTAATGTTTGTTTGAATGGGCTATAGCGAATTTAAATTTTTATATTAATAATTGAATTGATAGGAAACAAATGTATTCCAAAACTAATTTGAATTTTCATGTTATTTAGACCGACATGAAATCGAGCTTGACATGGGAAAGTATAGTTTTTTAAAAATAAAAAACACTTAAAAATAACTTTATAGAAGGAAGACGAATAATTAAAGCCAATAAGCCAAAATGACAGATTAAAAGTGGGCTAGAACGAATCTATAAAGAAATTATGAAGTTTGTTCCTAATCATTGATAGACTTCATAAAAAATTATAAACTAAAGATTAATGCTAAATTTAACACACTTTTATATGATAAAAACATCCACATAAGTATATAAAAATATTTAAAAGTTCATAAAAATTCCTTCTAGAGATTCCTAATTTTACTCAAAAAATTAAAATATTCTATAAAATATTCAAAAAAACATTAATGTCTTTTATTCTTTATGTTTCATTTTTTATTGAGTCGAGATCAATCCTTCTCTAGTATTATCTTTTTCTTCTGTAATTCTAGCATAATGTATTCGTCGTCTACATCGATTGTGACATTAGACTGGAGCTGAATTTCTTGTATTTTATCTTTCCCTGGATTTTTTGTTCATCTTTTTTTATCTTCTCATCTTACTTCATAGAGAACTTGAATGCATTTCCGATGTTCAACACAAACTTCTAGAATTACAGACTTTAATTATTTTTCTGTTTCAATAAGAATAAATATTATTCATATATATGAAAATTTTGTATTCCAAATTTATTAGTTAAATAAGGTTAGTAGTTAACTTTTTTTTCTCTATAATGATTCTTCTGTTGTGCTATGAAAATAAATATTATTCATACAATGATTCTTCAATGAGAATAAATATTATTCATATATATGAAAATTTATTAGTCAAATTTATTAGTTAAATTTGTATTTCAAATTTATTAGTTATAGAAGTTCTCAATCAATCAACCAATCATAGGATTTAATAAGCAAAATATTAATAAAAGGTCTAATAATTTTTAAATATTTTTTCTCCATCATAATCATCTTTTCAAAGTTGAAAGAGCTGATACTTTGTCCATCTCTGTAAAATATAAAATATATTTATTCAGTAAATTTAAGATTAAAATTTATAGATTAAAATTTATATATTAAAATTAGTTAATGTAAAAATAAGCCAACCTGATTATATTCTTATTTTTTCACTAATTGTAGGTGGAGTTTTAATACAGAAGAATCAAGCGTAACAATAGGTGATACATCCAACATCTTCTTTTTACCTTTGCTATTAGTAGTGCATATCAGTATGGATAAATCTGGATTTAATTCAACAAATTGATTATCAAGGGTACTATCTTGATTCACTTCAACTGGTTTCTTGTCCTAAGATAGTAATATACGTCTTAGAATGGTTGTGCGCAGAAATCAATTGTTGTGCTTCAAGGAACCAAACACAAACGCTGAGAAAGAAAGCCAAACAATGTAAAATAATGGCACAAACACAAACAACTAATTTTTACGTGGTTCGGCAATTGCCTACATTCACGGGGCAAGAAGAAGATAGGGTTTTTACTAATAAAGAAGAAGAGTACAAACTGGGATTACAAATCACTCAAACTCACCAATTAATCTCACCAACAAAGCTCTTAATCTCTCAAACAAAACCCTAACCAAAAGCTCCAGAAAATACCTCTTTTATGTGCTCCAAATACTCCACAACAACTCCCTAAAGAAATCCTAAAATGTGGTTGCTATTTATATCAAACAGTAATCCCAAACAGAATAGGAAACTGCAATCAGGCCCTAACCCGACTGGCGGTCGACCGTCGAAATCGTCGTGATCGACTGGACAGAATGACAGAAATCAAAAAAATACATTACAGGATCCGCGGTCGACCGCACTTGACGTCGCCGTCGACTAGCCAGAAAAACCGAAAAACACCATGTAATCGTGCACGTTTGCGGTCGACCACACCAAAGCTCGCGATCGACCTGTAAGCACCCAAATGACTGTCTGGATCAAATTTACTAATCTTGTCCAATGTTTTCGCCGTTTCTACAATTCCCACCTCAGTGAAGTTTTTTTCAAAACTGAAACGACACTAACCAAACCAAATATTCCACTTGTTGCGTCCAGTACGAAGTGAAATAAATTCACGACAAAGGAGTCGAGAACCCAAACGAGAATGCAAACAAACTCTAAATATCGGTATCAACTCACCAAACTGGCTGCATCATAAATGATTGTCTACGTATCCTCGTGCCTAAGGAATTAAGCATTCACGTAGTTCACCCAAATGGCCTCCAAAGACCCTCAATCTAATAGAAGAGTTCCCAACTCTTCACCAACAAATTTGCGGCTAATAGCTCTCCCAATGGCCCCAAAGTGAGATAAACCAAAATAGCACACGAACAAGAAAGCCAAAGTGAGACAAACCAAAATCTAATACCACTTGTTGTGCATAGCGAAACTCGAAAGTCAAATAGTGTACGAACAAGAATGAGAAAGATCACAACCAAAACATAAGCACAAATCACAATCAGAGCAAGACAAACCAATCACCTCCACCTGAGGTGAACCAACGGTCATATCCAAAATTCAAACTATGTCCACTAGCTGCACTCGAATCAACAAACTCATCATCTGCATCCACATCAATATGATCCTCATTCTATGTCACCTCAGCTGGAATCTCAAACGATGCAAAATGATCTGGAGAATGTGGAGTAATCTCCACCTAACGTGGAGTAACATCACTCTCCACCCGCTGTGATATCCCAATGATCTGTCCAACACTCTCCACCTGCCGAGAGTCAAGTGTGACATACCTGTTCAGAACAATATTAGAGTCCAACAACTGATAACCAAACACGCATCTGAATTCCAAATATGCACTCGGATCAAATCTCACATCCTCGATGTGACCATATGCTGGGCAACTAAATATCCGAAGCAACCCAAAATCTGAAACAGCTCTACCAGATCCAAATTCTCCAAATGCAGCAGTCAACAACCTATGAATAAGATGGCTCTAATATGTCAAAGCCTAAACACCATAACTCCTCTACAAACCAATGCTCGAAATCAAACTGATCCTCCTCTAGTAAGGAACGACTCATCAAATCTGCCAACTCATCTCGTCGCCCTAATATTTCCTCTCTAATGAAGTGTCTCAAACTGTCGTGAGCTCGGCACAAACGTAAAAAAGAACCCCTACCAAAATTAGAACGACATATTACCTTTATGCCAATATACTCCTTCCACCTGTTGTTGACTACTAGGACTTTACACTAAAGGGACTTGGTTACAACCCACAAATGCCTAGAACAGTACCCAACACATGAAACTAAATACATATTATCTCCTGATGATGCCTCCTTAGAAGGCCCCCAAATGCCTGAATGAACACCACCTAGAAGACCCTTCGCTCGATGAATAGAAGTGCCAAACTCCACCTTAATCTCCTTGTTCATATCAATGTACTCACATGACTTCAATCTTCAGGTCAAAGAACTCCTCAACAATCCATGCACGTTACCAATAATCGAATAACCCAACCTCAACAAACGCCACAGTCTAGCCAAATCCAAAGAAGTCGTCAGCTCTCTACCAATCACCATGCTTCTAATCAAATTATAAAAATTCTTCCTCCTGACGCCCTTCATCACAATCATGGACCCAAATGTAACATTCAGAGATGCATCTTCTAAGGTCACCCTATAGCCTGCTGCCTCCAAAACTCCAAGTAAAATGATGTTCTTCTTCAACTGAGGAATGAACATTACTTCATCCAACTCCCGAATCACTCTGTCATACATCCTAATACGAATGGTACAGATACCACCAATAGGGCAT